AGGGCCAAAATTCTAGAAGGACCAAAAAAGGGCACTTGAAAAAGGAAACTAAAGCAAATAAAGGAAGACATTAATATAGGGGGAATGATCCGTTTACAAACTTTTTTTACAAATTACACTAAGTATGACCGGTCATACTTAGTGTAGTTTGTAAACAAAAAAATTTGTAAATATAACCTTCTCCTAATATAGGATGCTAATGCTAATGCGATAACAATAATCTGGACATGGGCCATCAGAAGAGTCCACAAAGGTCTAGAAATCCACTATCTATAGGTAAATTCTAAAAGTAAGAGGTTATGTTGTCATTGTGCATACTTACCACCCCTTTGGCTAACGCCGGTATTCCTAGTGCATATACTAGTATCATAGCCTTTAGATCCTTTAGATCCAAGATCTGCTAAACTCAAGGATATCTAACTCATAGATATCTGAGAGAGTCTTTAAATCCAATATCAACGTACTAGTATCTGATTAGACATCTCTGTCTTTAGGATATAACAAGTCTCATAGCCGGTTCAAAGAAGCGAAGCTTGTGAAGATAGCTGAAAGAGCATACTCACCTTAAAAAGGTAGTTATGATTTATATAAAAAAATGTTATAATAATTTTTTTGATAAATATGTTATTATAGATTTGGTTCACGGTGAACTTTATTTATAACCAACACATTATTTAGAAGGTATTTTAATATTTTAAGATTTATGTATTATAAATTTTAATAACTAATAATTTGTTATGAATGTGAGTTATACCGACGTCATTCATGTTAAAATTCGTATTAAAACATCAATGAAGATAAAATAATAAAGAAAGAAAGAAAAATTTGTCATGAGCATAATCAAGTTAATAATATCATTAAATAATTGATTTTTTTAATTATGCAATTGTTTGATAAAATATTATTGAAAAATATCAAATGGTGATGATAAAATGATGAGTTTAAAAATAATTACGAAATAAAAAGAGTCCAAAATGAAGCAATAACTTTGAAAAAAATCAAATGGGAATAACAAAGTAATTAGTTGTGAAAATAATAATGAACAAACATTATTGAAAAATAGCAAATGTTTGTGACAAAGTGATTGGTTACAAAAGTAATAATACCAGGATTAGTCGTAAAAGCAGTAATAAAGAAAAGAAATATCACAGGTGTTGGAAATAACAATGTCTCATTGTCCGAAGGAAAATGCATATAAATAAGTGAAATTTTACAAGAAGTTAGAAGAGAACAAAATTGCGGAGATTGATAAACAAACTGGTGAGAGTGGAGAGAAATAAAAATATAGAGAGAGAATGACATATTGGAAAAAAAAATTTGCAAATAAATATTTATTCAAATGTCTCCACATCAAATGATAGTCTTGACGGGTGCTAAACGAATTAGGGCCCTTTGCCCCAACTCGTGAAGGCATGAGTTTACATGTTTAAAATTGATTGTTGGAACCAGACTTGATCTTGTATAAAAGCTTGTTTAATAAAAAAGCCTCACTCTAATTTAAAAGCCCAGTCTTAGAGCATCTCAGGCTGCTCTAGTATACTAATTTTTATTTTTATTTTATATTTTTATATTACTCATAATAGCCCTCTTTCTCTTCAACCTATTTCACCTCATTTTATTAGTTAAACAAACTTTTTCAATGATTTTGTTCTATATTATATTGTTTGTATATACATTGAATTTATAAATCTTTGTGTAATTATTAGTATTGTTAATCGTATATTTTATTTTGATAAAATTTTATTCTCTTATTTTTTTTAACCGGCTAAAACAATTTTTTATTTTTTTGTAAATAAGTCAAGCCACAAGCCGATAATTATATTCATAATAGATAACAGGCTTAGCCAGACTGACATATTTAAACACAAGTTTAACTTTTAAGACTAAAGCCCGCCTTGTCCTGCCCCGACCCGTTAACACCCCTAGTCTTGACTTATACTTTGGCTCAATACTTTTTTTTTTTTGTTACATAATTTAACTCAATACTTAAAGTTAGTGATGAATAGTTAAAATTGTATCAAGTTAAAACTTTATTTTAAATTTTATCACGAATATCTTTATTTTTAACAACGAATTGTAAATTAAAATGTACAATGTTATTTATTAACCATATTAAGGGACAATGTAATATAAAATGGAGTTATACGTCTTTTTTTAATGTTTTTATCATATATATATTGTTAAATATTTGAGAAACATTGCAATATTAATAAATTGATTTATGTGATTTTGAAATGTCTATGATTGGTTTTGCCTTAAGTAATTTATATATTATGTTTATGTTTTTAAAATTGATTTTGGGGTAATGAATTCTTCAAAATATGTTAGTGTTGATGTACCATAACTTATATATAAGCACAAAATCAGTTATTTATTTATTGTATATGAGAGACTAATATTATTACGATATATTTTCATGCGAACAACCTGATATTGTGTTTAGTATAAAATTTGAAACAAAACAAGTTATCTGGTATTAATTATTTTATTAACAGATTCTTATAATTAATAAGTTTTTACATATTTTTTATAAAATTAGCAATGACAACTTTGGCTGTCATACGTGTACTGATTGTCAAGCAATGGTCCTTGACTACTTGTCTCCTAATTCCTAAATGACTTTTTTTTCACACACACACAATTTTTTTTTTAAATATCCAATCTTCTGTTGGGTCACAAAAGGGAAGGAAAAAGGAATAAGATAAAAAAAGGAAAAAAGTTCCTATTTCCTTCTTTTACTATTATTAAGTAAAAAAGCTTCCATTTTATTATTTGATTTTATAAAAAATAAAATAAAATAAATAACAAATATGAAATCATCTTATTATCTTTATCAAATAAAATTAATTAATTTAATTAATTTATAATAAATGTTTTGACCTTAATGGACTGGATGATTTGGGGCGGCCCAAAAATGACTACGTGGTTTTGTGTTTTTGAGTGGAGCTCGGTGCAATATTGCTTGAGCTTATGAGGATTTGCAACCATATATAATTGGTCGGAGTTATTGTTAGAACCCTTTTAAGTTTTAACCCATGGGCCATGGCAGGAGGTTTGCCTGATTAGCAATTGTTTTTTTTTTGTAAATAGCAATTGTTTTTCTTTGGCATCAACCCATTATGATTTTGGTTGGCAAGAGTGGTGTGCATTTAAAAGGGTTTTAACACTCAAATCAATGTATATGCGAAATGAAGTTTGGGTATAGAAAAGTGTGTAATTCAAGATAAAAACCCTGTGTTTGTAGATATGTTGAGGAATGAGAATACTGCTGTGAGTTATTACAAAAAAAAAAAAAAAGAATACTGCTGTGAGAATGTGAACTGTTATTCTAAGGCGTAAAAATAGAAAATAATACGATAAAAATTATAATTATGGGAGTTTAATATAAAAAAAATTCAACTAAGAAGAAAAAAAAATTGACGATTAAAAATAGAAAAATTTATACTAAAAGAAAGAAATTGTAGTTATTCCATGTTTAGGAGGAGAAAATAATAACACATTTGAAACAGAAAGATACACCTTTCTCTAAATAAAATAAAATAAAACATTTAAAAGCTCTTATTGTGTGTTTACTTATCATGCAATTCACCATTCAAAGCTCCCTTCATTGTCAAAAGTTGTATAGCGCCAATAAATATTTCAAATGATCATCATTTGGTGCCAAAATAGCGTTCATATATACAGGAGATATTAAAAGATCGTTTAGTTTAAGCAATATTTTGATTGAGCGACGGATCCAAAATGTTTTGCCAAGGTAGACAACACAACACTATAACTCGTCAAATTATAATAAATATTTCAAATGGTCATCATTTGGCGCCAAAATAACATTCATACAAGGGATATTAAAAGATCATTGAACTTAAGATATTTTAATTCTAGAGACTAGAGCGTTCCAGAATATTTTGTTTAAGATATTAACATGTATATGTTGGTACATGAACTACTTTTATATAACAACTACCATTAAATTTCCTTATCAGCAAATTAAGTGTGAATAAAGACATTTTTTTTTTATAAACGTGAATAAAGACATTTAATATTGATAAAATGGTACATTATGTTCTATTTTTTTGATTTTATCATTTTTAGAGGAACTAAAATGTTCTAGTTTTTAATCTCGTGGAATGTTTTGTTTAATTTTAAAATGCATTAAATATAAAAAAAAATATCACGTTTTATATTTTGTTCCATTCCATTCTAACACGTTTATCAATTAGCGTATGTGAGACAACTCCCGTGAAATTTTGATGTTTAATATTTGCAAAAAAAAGTACTTATATATCTGTTTAACTTTGAGACAACTACTATTAAAATAATATCTCTAGATATATATTTCATGTCAAACTTGGAACGAAAACAACACAAATTAAAAATGTAGTTTAAGGTTTTTAAAAACAAGAATTCCAATCCATAACGAATATGTATTATCAATATAAATTCTCCATGAAAATATATATTAGCAATTATGAGATGATAAATTTTATAAATTCTTGTAATCTGGCTTCAATCAAATACCAACATGTAAAAATAAAGCCATATATCCCCATCCCTCTTCCATTTTGTTGTATCTCTTTGTTTCTAATTATTCATCTCTTTTGTCTAGTTAAGAACCAGAGATTGAATTGAAGGACTAAAATGAACTTGCTCCTGTTAACTTCCATATAGTGAATTTGCTAGGGATGTAAGTAAGTCAATCATGTTCTTTAGAAGGGTGACAATTACTACAAGGTTAAAAGCCAAGTTAGGATAGCCCAAGGGTGGAGGGTACTGTGGACTGGACACTGATTATTCCGCCGCAACTGAGTAATAAAAAAGTTGAAATTTTTGTCTTAGGCTTTTGAAGTTTGACAAAAAAAAAAAAATAGACACAGGTGAAGTTGGGCTTGTAGTTTAAGACTCCACTCTGCCGAAGGGACACATTTTCTAAATTTGAAAACACATTCTTTTTTATGGATAATATTGTCCTAAAATATAGTTATGTGAGGCTATTTACAATATAAACTCCAAGTTTACATTTTGCATGGTGTTCAATTTATGAACTCTAACTCAGTCACTGGGAAAGCTTGAAATGATAAATTTGGAGGTTTTCAACATTGGATTTAGCAAAATTACTTCTCATTCTGGCAGTACGGAACTTGCCCCAGTTGAGTGCTCTATATTTTGGAGGGTTTCTTTCGTCTATCAACTCTTCCAAGGGCTTCACATCGGTGTAGAGTGCCGGTTTCAGAAAGAACGGAATGGAAAACCTATCCTTCTCAGAGTTCACCATAACCCTGTGTTCTACACTCTCATAAGAGTCATTGCTCCAAACCTGCATGCACAAACAAAGCCATTCTATAATGAACATATATAGGTCAAAGCATTTAAAACAATAACTAACTGCTCCTATTCTAATTTATTACTCTGGTTCTATATCAATCTTGTTTATTATAATAATAATTGTAAGATTACATGCCATTTTATTCCCCTTTACACAGAGATTAGTCCATTTCCTGTATAGGTATATATGTGAACCAATTGCTTAATATAAATGTGTGAATAATTATTTCACAAATAATAATGGATGAAAAGAAAAAAAGTTCATAATACATAAGACAAATGAAAACTTGTGAAATAAATTTGATGGTGAGAAAAAGTGAGCAAGGGTTGGATACCTGAATCATATCACCAACATTAATGATGAAGGAATTGAAAATGGGCTTGACTCGAATCCACTCTCCATCTGATTTTCTCCTAACTTCTAGACCACCAACATCATCTTGAGCAAGCACAGTCAAGACACCAGTGTCCTTGTGACGTCCAAGACCAAGAGCCAGATGAGGGTTGGGGCAAGGTGGATAATGGTTAAGTCGGATATTGCTGGTGTTGTGGCTGAAGAAGCTGCGGAACCTATTTGGTACTAAGCCTAAGCTCAGTGCAATAAGTTCCATCAACTTATAAGCTAGTTTCTCCACTTCTTGTGCATATTCTTGGCATGCTTCTCTGGTATCATATCAGTATCTTTCATAATTAGTGTAAAAGAAGTATTAAATGCCTCGAGACTTTGAGCTATAACTTTTCGTTGGGACAAAAATGATACATAGATAGAGTCATAGAGAGGAGGAAGAAAATCAAACAATTAATATAACCAAGCTTTATCCAATTACCGTATTATATAAATCAAACAATTATATTGAATTAATCTATTTAAAATAAGCCGAGTATCTTTTCTATGTTACTTGAGATAATTATTTAATGCAACAATTATTTCATTCATGACCTAAAAAAAATAGTGAAACCATAAAGAGAAGAGAAAAAGAAAAAATTGGATTCCATCCATTTTTTGTAGGGCAATGCTTGCTTTTCTCATATTACATAAGATAGTATTGTCTTATATAGAAACAAAATTAGGTGAGTCCCACGACTAAAAAAAATAAAAATGCTAGCTCGAATTTCGATGGTTGTGTAACATGAGATAAGGTTTTTCATGTAACATGAGAGAAATATTTTCTTTTTTTATATGGTATCATACAACATAAAAAAACATATTTTTCATTTTTTAGTTGTAGAAAAAGAAATAAGAATAGAAAATATAGTCTAGATAGAACTGGGCACGCATAGATCCGAATCAATTTTTTTTAATCAATCAAGTAAGTTTAAACCGGCCAGTCGGAATTGGTTCATGTTTCAAAACCAATTACGATTTATCACCAGTTCAGAACTATTCTTTTGGTTCATGCAAATTGATTTGGAATCGATTTCAAATCAGTTATTTTTGCTCGATTCAATTTTTAAGCTGCAGTTCGACTCTTAAAATTGGTTAAAAAAGTAGGCTTCAATTCGATTTAGTTATTAATAATCAAATAGTGTTGGAAATCAAAAATTATACAAAATCGAGAAAAGAGAAAAGAGAAATTATTTCAGAAATTAACAGTGTAATTTATCGATACCCAAGCACGTATCCTATATTGGATAAGATAAGAGAGATTAACATGGTGATTTATCGATACCCAAGCACGTACCCTATATTGGATGGACCAGGATAAATCACAGTGTTAATCTATCTTTCGTCTTTTTTTTCTCTTTTGTGTTTTATCGATTTTGTGTGATTTTTGGTACCAACAAATAGTGGATATTGAAGTACCTGAACTCAGGAGGATTCTGAGGCCACCGGTTATCCCACTGGAACTGAACGTTTTGCTCATCATCATCTGGTTCAACAGAGGGTGGTATAAAAGTGGGTTCCTGAACATTGAAATCATAAATCTCCTTCCAGTCCCTAACATTCTTGGTATGCTCTGCTTCAAAGTACCCAAGCACGTTAACTGCATCCCTTCTCACCTTCAGCTTCTCCTCCAAACTAAGTGCAAAAAAGTTCCTTGAAGCTTCTTCAATCCTCTCCCTCTTATCCAACGGCACCTTGTGATTAATCACCTGAAAAAAACCCCACTCCTTACATGCACTGCCTATTTCTTTAACTAGTCCTTCGATGGAAACTGGGATGGTTTCTTCATCTTGGTAGTTTATGGGAGAGAGATCAATCAAAGGGATGCCTTCAGCCACGATCACTGAGGGTTTTGGCCTGTGTTCTGGGGCCTGGACATAAGCTGTGTCTACCTCTACCTCTCCCATGGTTGTTGTTGTTCTGTTTTCCTTTGTTTGTTCGAAAGATGTCAGAGACAGAAAGTTTAACAGTTACACTAAGGTTACGTACATGTACAATAAAAAAAAGGGAACATTATGTACATTGAACCAGGACTGGTTTCTGTTATGCTTTTAGCTCCTCTGTGCAGGACAGGTGTCTTGTGTTTGTAAAATTGCGTCTTGCTTTTGCCTTCTTAAATATAGAATCAAATTTAACGATGATAAAATCCATGACATTTCATAAATTTGACATTCACATACATGTAATTGTTTGAACTTTGAATATGTTAGCTGTAGCATCCGTACCATTAAAATAATACAATTTTTAATTAATAGTAGTAATAATAATAGAGGTAGGATATTCTTACTACTTATTTTTTTTACTACTACTTCACTACCACTCTAATCACCATTGGATTAGAGGAAAAGTTGAATGAAGAGAGAAAAAAAAAATAACTTTAGAATCCAATGGTGATTAAAGTGGTAGTGGAGTGGTAGTAGAAAAAATTAGTAATAAGAATATCCTATCTTATAATAATAAGGTTTAATTTTTATGCTTTTGCTGCAGAAATTTATTTTCTATTACACTTAAAAACGAGTGAGTTAAGACTCACTTATTTTTATATGAATGTGGTAGAAAAAAATTCCTGAATAGAAATATTTTTCCTATAATAATATTTAACATGATCAAAGTGAATAAGTAAAATTTTAACGGCTAAATTAAGATAAAATAAAATTAAGAGTAAAGCCTTTTTTGGAAGCCTGTTTGGATCCTCTTATTTTTAAGCTAGAAGCTACTTATAAGTTAAAGTTAAAAAAAGCTTAAAAAAAGAAGTTAAAAGCTGTTTGGAAATTATATAAAAATTTTAGCTTAAAAATTACTTAAAAGCACATATTTCAAGAAAATTATCTCTCTCTATCTTTATCACTCTTCGTTTTAAAAAAAAAGCACACAATTCAAGAAAAACAGATATTAGCTTAAAAAAAAGCTCATCCTAGGAGCTTTTAGCTTTCAGTTTTTTTCTTCATTATAAAAAAAGAGCTTTTTATTATAAGAGTTTTTCCCAAAACTTATTTGGCCTAGCTTATGCTTATAAGTAGTTTCTAGCTTAAAAAAGAGAGGATCCAAACAGGCACTGGATCTCTAACAAAAAATATGGTCTCCACTTTCGTCCCTTGCAAACAAAAAAGTCAACTTTTGGTCCCTTACAATTTCAGTTCTTTGAAAGTATGGTCCCCTAGAAATTCAATGAAGATCCAATTTAGTGCCTGTTTGGATCCTCTCTTTTTTAAGCTAGAAGCTACTTATAAGCATAAACTAGGCTAAACAGATTTTTGAAAAAACTCTTATAATGAAAAACTCTTTTTTTTATAATGAAAAAAAAAAGTTGAAAGCTAAAAGCTCTTATCTATTTTTCTTGAATTGTATGTTTTTTTTAAAAATGAAGAGTTATAAAGATAGAGAGAGATAATTTTTTTGAAATATGTGCTTTTAAGCTAAATTTTTTATGTAATTACTAAATAATTTTAAGCTTTTTTTTAACTTTAGCTTATAAATAACTTCTAGTTAAAAAAAATCCAAATAACTCTTAATCCCTAAAATATGACTAATATGGATATTTGTTTTATAAAAAACGGAAGTGATGACCGTATTTTTCGTCACTATCCAAAAATTGCTTTATCAAAATGAATACGAGCTTTATGAAGTTACGTTGTGTCCATAATTGATATAACATAATTTATTGGTTTCCGACTCAGCAGCCCAACAAAAGGCTCTTATTTCCGACTCACACACGTGATACTTTCACACATAATGCACACTAGTAATGTCCATCCATCCATAAGCATAGTAGTACTCCTATTATACTCCCTTCAAGCTAGCTTATAATGATAAATTCGAAGGATCTCCTCATTTTGTTTCTTGAAATTGCTGTTCATTCTCCGGATAATAAACTTGCCCCATTTGAATGGCCTATATTTTGAAGGGTTTTGCTCATTTATCAGCTCCTCCAAAGGCTTGACTTCGGTGTCGTGTGCTGGGTTGAAGAAGAAGGGAATGAAAAACCTTTCTTTCTCAGAGTTAACCACCACTCTGTGTTCCACACTCTCATAGGTGTCATTGCTCCAGACCTGCACAAATAACTGCATTCCTCATGTAAAATTTTCTCTCTACTTATTAAGGCCTAACGAAACTCATAAACTAGGAAATAAACGGAATATAAAATAGACTAAAAGTCACAAAAAGTTCAACGTTTTCAGTCTTTATGGTGGTACTTTACTGGTACCTGAATAATATCACCAATGTTGATAATATAAACATCTGGGGTGGGTTTCACTCGAACCCACTCTTGATCTGTTTTACGTTTCACTTCAAGTCCTCCAACCTCATCTTGGGCAAGAATGCTCAAGGCAGTAGCATCCTTGTGTGGACCAATGCCAAGTGCTAGGTGGGGATGAGGACATGGAGGATAGTGGTTGAGTAGAATAGAGCTAGTTTGATCATTGATGAAAAAATCTTGGAACCTCTTTGCTTCAAGGCCTAAACTCAGAGCTATAAACTCCAGCAACTTAAAGGCTAGCTTTTCCATCTCTTGAATATACTCTTGGATTATAACCCTGCTCGTATTGACATCATTTTTGAACATAACCCATTAATAATTAAAGTGTCACCTAGCTACAATTAAATTTAAGAGTAGATACTTTTTTTTATCCTCAGCAAATTTCACGATGACCGCTTTAGTCCCTAACAAATACAAAGGTCCATCGTGGTACCTAATAAATTCAAAATGAATCCATTTAGTTGAAATCGTGATCCCTCACAAATTCTAAAAAGATCCATATTAGTTCCGGACTAAAATGGGTCCATTTTGAATTTCTTAGAGATAACGATGGATCTTTTTATTTATTAGGGACTAAAGCGCGGGCATCGTAAAATTTGGTACGATAAAAAAAAAGTATTTACTCTAAATTTAAAATACACAAAGAAAAATTCGCTTTTGAATTTCAACCTGAAGTTTGGAGGGTATTCAGGGGATGGATTAGTCAACTGAGTGAGTCGATCATCAAGTTCATCAGAAGTGATAGGAATGAAAGTGGGTTCTTTGCCTAGAAATTCGAATACTTCTTTCCAGTCCCTAAAGTTCATGGTGTGTTCCGTGTCATGATAACCACTCGGATTGTTCTCGTCTCTTCTAAACTTCCTCTTATCCTCCAGACTCTGTGCAAAGAACATCCTCGAGGCTTTCTCGATCCTCTGCCTTAGAGTTAGTGGCACCCCATGGTTTGTTACTTGGAAGAAGCCCCACTCCTTGCATGCACTCCTTATCTCCTTCACTAAGCCTTCTATGGAAGATGGGTCTGTAACTGTGTGATTGGTTATTGGGGAGAGGTCTATTATGGGAATGCCTTCGGCTTGGATGGTTGAGAGCATTGGCCTGTGCTCTGGGTCTTGAATGAAAGCTGGGTCGATCTCTTCCATGGTTGGTGCTAGTGTTACTTGCCAAGTGCATGGAACCTAGGGAGTGTTTTTTGTGGAACTAGTGATTTAATTATAAATTCGGACTAGCAAGATTTTAGCGGAGCGAGAGCGAGAGAAATATTTAATATGGTCCACGATCACTGAATCTTTTGGTATTTCTTCACACATCATTAATTTCTTTTTTCTTTTTTTATCCCTGTTATTTTTTTTCTTTTCCGATTCTATCCTTTTATTTACACTAAGAGACCATCTAAAAAATGATAGTTCCAATTCACTCTAAATAATCTCGAGAGCGAGGTGAAGGGAAAAGTAAAATTTATTTAATGTTTCCAAAAAAAAATTATTTAAAAAATAATATTCAATACGAGTAAGTTAATAACAAAAATTTAAAAAATTCAATAAAAAAATCTTCTAGATAACTATTTTAGCCGGCCAAGTGATGTCAAAGGAATAGGTGAAACCGTGAAAGACGCACAAAAAATTTAGTATATTTGTCTATTTATTTAATAACACGTGGGTATGTAAAAAATATCATAATATTTTATTTTTTGAGATGATGTGATATTATTTGTTCACATGTCACAAAACAAATAAGCAAATACATGAATTTGGTATATCTGATACATGATTTATTCCCAACCCTGCACCCTCTCAACAACACACCAATCACAGAAGGGTACCTGTAATTTTCTAATGGATAGCGAAACGCCAAATTTGTAAAACAAAATACCTTCTAAACTTTTTTCGAATTAATCTTTTGGTATTATAATTTCAACCAAACACGCCGTATGTCAACTCATTAAAGATTCCTGTACAGGCCCAAAAATCATGAAAATATTAATAGAATAACTTTTTTTATTAAGCAAAAATTTATGTTATCCGTATTGTCAATAATAGAAATATTAAACAAATATAAAAAGCGAATTATTAACAAAAGACGAATATCATTTAGATATGAGAAGAAATATGTCTTTATAGCAATGATACACAGACACCAACACGAGACACGGGACACGACACGATACACGCGTCGACACGTTAATTCTAAAAACTGTCATATTTTGACACTTTGGGACATATTTTGATATTAAATAAAAATTTTAATATAAATAATATAATTTATATTTAATACATATAACAGTCTATAATAAGTCATATAATCAATTAAATATTCAAATTTCATAACATAAATATAAACAAAAATAATTTTTCGTACTTTGTTAATTTTTCTGTCAAATTTCATAACAGAAAAAAATTGATTTATAAATTATTATTTTTATATTTAGTTAATAAAATAAAATTAAGATTAAAAAAAATGTGTTGGATGCATGTCGGAGCGTTGACCGCGTGTCAAAAAACGTGACAGAGAGTTGACCGCATGTCCCAAAATATTGACCACTTGTCGGTGTCTGACACGCAAATTTTTTAAAAGAATGTGTATCATCCGTGCTTCTGAGCTTTATACCACGAGATAAAATTATTTCTTGTAATCTCAAAACAACTTTTTTTGAGCATAGGTGGGTCCAACTTTTTTAAAATATGAGGCAGAAATAAAATTTTAAAATTTTAAATATTATCAAGATTAATAGGAGTTATTAATTATCATAAATATTTTTGAGTGATGGATTAACTATTAATATTAATAGCCTATTATTATTTAAAAATATTATTTCATATATAAAATAAAAAAATTAAATTTATAGTGGGACGGCATATTATGTTCGGCCCTCTCTCAGTTCGTCCTTGGTTTTGAGGTTTCGAGAAAAAAAGTATACGAAATTTTGTTAATTATTTTTTGTAAAATTTTATTAAAATACATTATATTTTTCATCTCAAAATTCAAAATAACTTGAAATTAAGGGAGATAATTTATACGTTAATCCATTTAGATATTGTCAATACATTATCCAATACATTTAGGTCCTGTTTGGTGTGACGTATAATGCATTATAATATAAGCTTATACTATACGTTATGACATTTCCAGTTATTTGGTGTGACCATCGTATAGTATAAGCTTATACAGTATAATCCCTTAATACATCAAAACGATGTATAACTTAATCCGGCCAAAGGGTGAGGGATAAGGCCTGATTAGAGATTGATGTACTAACATCGTTGACCAATGTAATTCTCAAAAATTAATATATTATTTTAATATTAATCTATTTAAATAAAAATTAATTTTACAATATATTAATTTTTTAAAATATTGAATATTTTTATTTTTATAAAAATTAATTTATATCTTGGACACATTGATCAATAAAATTTTATAAAAATTAATATCATATGATATTTTTTGAAGAATTATATAAATTCTTTATTAAGAGATATTTTTATTAAGAATATTTATTTTTATCATACATAGTATTACACAGTACATTACCAAATACTATATGATATTATTTTATACAATACCATGCCAAATGCTGGATAATATTAAAATTCAATCAGGCCTTATACTATCAGATCTTATACTATCAAGCTTTATCCTATACTATGCACCAAACATGCCTTTAAGGTTAGGTGTCGTCTTAACCGTGACACTTCGGGTACGCATAACAACCTTCTCGAAATTAGTTTTTTTTTTTTAATTTTTGTTCCCGGGAACAGAAATAGATAAAAAAAAACTCGTTTGGTAAAATCGATTTATTTTTTTGTTCCCGGGATGAATCAGTTTAATTTTTGTACTGCGTAACAGAAAAAAAAAATTCTACTTTTTTGTTCCCGGGCACAAAATGAGAAACACTTGTCTCTCTCAATCACACTCCACCACTACCATTATCCCGACACGACCACCGCCACCATCGTAGTACCACCACCACTACCACCACCGTCAGCACTATTATCACTACCACTACCACCACCGTCACTACTATTATCATTACCACCACCACTACTATCGCCATTGCTGCCACCACCATGTCATTACCATCACTATCGTCGCAGCCACTCTGTCATCACCACAACCACCACAACCACTTTCACCACCATTACCACCACCACCACCACCTTGTCATCATCATCACCACCACCACTACCACCGTCGTTGCCACTATGCCACCACTACATTTTAATGCAACGAGCCGTTCATATAATGATCATTTTATTATATAGTATTACATATGACCTCAGTTGCCATGCCCTCACGAAAGTTTATTATTAGATTACTTGGCACTTCACATATGAATCATACTGCAATCCCATAAAGATAACGCAACTTGTTTTTTTTTTTTTGGGTAGTTAATGCAACTTGTTTAATCTGTAAAGAAGTGTGATTGCAACCACAAAGTCACAAAGTTATAAAAGCATTTTTTAAATTTAGAAAAAACAAAAATAAATAAATAAATAAATAAAAGACTCTACTGCAATAAAAAAAGGAATGCTGATATAGACTATAACATAACCTACGGATACTGATTCATCATTGTATGTTTTGTCCAGAAAGTACAAAAGGCTCTACTGCAATCCGATGTCCCCAACAGACAAGGACCGCCCACCACAAATTCGTGTTTGGAGCTGGCTACCACGCATCGTAGTGTTATATTACATGAGTATCAGCCCAGCCCGCATGTAGGTATTGGTGCTTTAAATTATGCAATTATTACTAAAATTTAAAATATCAACAATAATATATTATGATACGCCAAAATGTATAGAAACATGGTGAAAATTTGGGTTTATAGTTGTGTTTGAATCGGTACGAATATTAATATTTTTAATATGAAATGACATGAATACGAGTGGACTCAACAGGAGATAAATAATCGTTTAATTATATTTTTCAAATAAAAATTAAATAATCTCAAATTAATAAATGAAAAATAAATAAATAAAATAAATATGTAGATATATAATTATTTAATTTAAATGATTTGACATAAATATAATTTTAATATGAATATTTCTGATACAAACATAATGTGATTTTTTATGAATATACGAAAAATTCATATCATATTCACGTTATATTCACATGAAAATTGTAACTCCTAATATGTAACACTTAAGTTAAGTTATGTGTGTAAATTTCATAACCTTTCTTTTTGACACCTCATCGACACATCTACTATTACAATTGGTCCCTGATTCGGTGGTATGAAATTTTCATTGTCGATCGAGTACAATTGACCTGAATATACTGGACATTGATACGCGGTACTATAAACAGGATCAATGTATTACATGGGATCGTGGTTTGTGGTTGTACATGTTGTTATCACATGACTGCACGAGTACCTAATAGCAGTGAATTCACCACACTGACATGTACAATCAGGTAATGAAATGAAACTGACCATTTTTTGCCTCCCGGTGAGTACGTTGGTTGTACGATTCTTGAACTTCAAATCTTGTCTTTTGAGGATCATAACATGTTAACAAATGTATAGAGGATTTTTGTTGATTAGTCACATATGCTTGCCAAAGTACTTTGATGTATCAATTACCCCTACCCATCTCCTCACGGGCCTTCTGGCAATATCTAGCGTATGTGAGGCGTACCAATAATGTGATAGGAAGGTTTCTTACTCCTTTAAGGACCTTGTTAACACACTCTAACAAGTTAGTGGTCTTGTGACCAAACCTTCTACCCTCCGCATTACATGTGATGCTCCACTTCTCTTTCAGGATGCGATCTATTCATGTAGCTATTTGGGGACCATCTTCTTTAAAATTTTCCAATCCAGCATCAAAGTCTATATGCAAAGTTGTATAACCTGCATACAGAAATCACAATCATAAGCTTATGTATTTTTCACACATGATGTCAAATAAAGATGAATAGCTCGAAATACATACCTAACTTCTTTAGTTGCTTCTTCAACATCACATTTTTGAACTTGTGATTGAAATTACTAGCAAGATGTCAAATACAGAAGATATGGTATGCTTGAATTTGTTGCCAGCCTAGTGTCACATTGCTAACTGCAGATAGCATGGTCGCATGCCTATAAAAAATAAGGTAGATGCCTTCCTTTTGTGTCCCATGAACTTGAATC